AGAGAGGCGGAAAAAACGAAGTTTCCCAAAATCGTTTTAATGTTTTCCTGGCTTTTGAAATAAATTGCGCACCAACTTGCCACTTTTTCTCCTCCACAAGAAGGCATAATTAGAATTTCAATATGACGTTTCGTCTCTTGTCCTACACCATCAACTTTATTTTCCCTTAAGGACACCATATTGGAACAGAGTTTTTATTTTTGATTCAAAAAATGTATACATAAACACGGCGAAACCGTCAGTTACTTAAAACAGGTTCAATTTCTTATATTGGCCTTGAAACTATCAGACAGTCATTTGTTTCGCATACTAGATTTATTCCAAAGTCATTTTTATCTTATTCTTAATCTTTGAGTTGGGATTTGAGAATAAATTGCATTTTGTAATTTTCACTTATTCTCCTTTGTTTTTGGACGCTATATTGGAATTTTGGTCATTCCAAACTCTGTTACTATGTTCGATTTGAGGTTTGGTCTGGTATACGAAACAATGACTATGACGATTTCAAGGCTTACCTGGTAAACTCTATTTTTCTGGAATAATTGAAGTTTGGTAGTGTTAATGTAGGACGTATACATTTTTGGAATCATAGTTAGAAACTATCTGCGCAAAAATCCAGAGTGGATTCCATAATAAAAAAGGAAGAAGCTGCTGGCGAACAAGAGACGAAACGTCATATCGAAATTCTAACATGCCATGTTTTAGAGGAGAAAAATTAATAATAATAATAATAATAATGTTTATTGTCAAAAGCATAACAGATAACTAGAAATGACATATACTAAGTGACATATAAATCCGAACACCCAGTTTAAATGGTTTTATTTTAATAAAAGTTGGTGAATGTATTTATCTTACTGTAAATAACAAGTGAAAAAATTTTCAGCCTTATCAGTTGGACATTCCGTTTCTTATACTGCTTTTTTTTAATTCACTAACGCTCTAAAAATGAATATTTCAGCCGCAGTAAAGAATCAACGTTGGCGGATTTTGGTTCTTGACATCCTTTACGATCGGTTACGATGCCTAGAGTACGGAGACCTGTACTATTTCGTCAACTTAGTGAGTTTGATAGGGGCCGTATAGTGGGACTTCGGGAAGCTGGACTTACTTTTCGGGCAAATACAGTTAGAGTGTAAAGAAGTGTAGACACTGTGGTTAGGTGTTGTCAGGCATGGCTTCGAGAAGGCCGTACGCAAAGAGCAAGGGGCACTGGACGCCGCCGTAGAACAACAGACCGTGAAGATCGCCGCCTAAGATTATTGGCCTTAAGGGACCGTTTCTCCACTACCAGGTCCATTGCAAATGAATGGTTTGCAGAACATGGAAGACCTATTGGCATGCGAAGTGTTTACCGGCGAATGAGAAGTTTTGGCTTGTTTTCATACCGGCCACACTGGGTCCTCCCTTTAACTCGAGAACACCGACGTAATCGCCTTGAGTGGTGCAGACAACGGTCACTCTGGGATCAGGAATGGAACAGTATTATCTTTAGTGACGAGTCTCGATTTTGTTTAGGCATGCACGATGGTCGTGCCAGGGTTAGAAGGCGACGTGGTGAAAGGAGGAATCCACAGTTTTTTGTTGAAAGACATGTTCATCACACTGTTGGAGTTATGGTTTGGGGTGCTATAGCTTATGGTTCCAGGTCACCTTTAATCTTCATCAGAGGTAACATGAACGCGCAGCGTTATATCCACGAAGTTCTAGAACCCCATCTTTTACCCTATCTTGACACCCTGGCAAAACCAACTTTCCAACAAGATAATGCCCGACCACATGTTGCAAGAGTCACAATAGACTTCTTTCAACATAATGATGTCACATTGTTACCATGGCCACCAAGATCTCCCGACTTATCCCCAATTGAGCACGTGTGGGATATGATGAGTAGGAGATTGCTCAATTTGCAACGTCCTCCTCAGACTCTAGAGAATGCGTAGCACATCAGGGTGCATCCACACATTATTAAAGGTCAAAGGGCTTTAAAGCAGTGCAATCATTTTGAAATTTTTATCATTTACTTATTATGATTCATTAAGTACTTATACAAAATTTTATTAAAATAAAACCATTTAAACTGGGCGTTCGGATTTATATGTCACTTCGTATATTTTAGAACAATAAACATGGTAGAAAACCGGCAGAAGGCTAGCCTTGTACGCGGGTGTGCATTAGCTTATGAATAATTACGTACTACTTAAACTAGAAATAAAAAGACACACGTGATTTTCTAAGAAAAGAACAATAACAACATTAAATAGGATTTTAAAATACATTCTCTGACAAAGTGGGAGTGTGGATAGCTTCATTTAATTATAGATCCTTTTTAAGGTAAAATGTCTCATTTATGGCACAAAGTCTATCTTAGGTTATTAGTGTTTTTGTTTTCTGTTCTCTGTTTGGGAGATATGAATATGAATTGTCACTCTCAATTTTGAAATTTATTTTAAGATCCCAATACAAATACAGCCAGTACAAGATTAAATCGATTTTGCCAAAATTTGTTTTTTTCCGTCTTTTTCCGGAAGTGAATTTTCTAAGCGGCACTTTGTTAGTTACCTAAATACGCAACTTTGCCACATTTAACTGTTTCCGAGATCCCAACGGTGTGGGTCGAATTTGAAACACCCTGTAGCGATAATTCCGTTCTAACTATCATAAAACTGACATATCCTCCTTCAGATGAGGGTGTCCAATAAGAATTTGTCTGCCTAGTTTCATGCCAAGGTTTCAAGATCAAAACATCTTGATAAACTATTTCGAACGTGGAAAACTCTACTCGCAATGACCCTTAAAATAGCACAGTTTATATACACAAGGTATATTCGCAAAACGAGTCAGTTCTGAGAGAAGAGAGTGATTACAGGAGAAAAGATAATACAGAAAGAAGGGTTAACGTCTCTAAGGTGTTTTATAGTTATTTTGACCTGCTCGCCTGTGTGTTATTTAGGGAAGACAGTTGGAACACATCTCTCGACGTTGTTTAGAGATTTAACTTGTCCAAACATTAATTAATATAGTAATTATCATGAATAATACTGTTGTATTTTCCCATTCAACACGGTACTCAATCATGACCTACTATGCTATCGCGCAACATTCAAACTTAAAAATAGTCATAACATTGATCTACTTCCTTTCGACTCTTGTCTGTTTATTTCATTGCGGATTGATAACTACGACGCGTCTCGTAAAATTTTACATTTTTGCTTGTCTGCTTGGATTCGCCGAAAAGCCGTTTCCTCACATTTGCGTGCAATATTTCAGGAAACAATATACACTGCACGCCAAAATGTATGTTTTCTAGGCAGCTGTTGAAAACGGTAGCATTGCCACGTTAAAGCGACAAATAGTAAAAACGCTCGCTATTAGGTGCGGTCATGCAGATGATGGAATGATTCTTTGTTGCCAGTTTTCAATAATTCCATTACTACCCTTAAAAAATGTGATAAAGTTGGCATTATCTTGTTTTTTGTTCGATGAGATAAGGAATACTGTTAGTTTTCTAGACATTTAAAGCTCCATATTATCAAACCCTGTCATGGTATGTACAATAATGTATCATTAAAATCTATACCTATGCCCAGTTCGTAAAAACTGGAATAATGCTTGGCTGATTATATTGTAAAAGCATATTTCAAGACCTACTTAGGAAATACAGTTTTTTTACATATGATAATTTTTTGCTATTTGCTAACAAAGATATTAAACGTCATATTAAAATTATTATTTTTGTCACCTCGTAGATGAGAAAAAGTGACAATGTTAATTTGCAATTTATTTTGAAATCGAACTCCTAAAGGAGAAAATAAAAACGATTTTGGGAAAATTAGGTTTTTACGTCTATCTCCTGAAATCTCTGAATTTCAATCGACCTACCTAAACGTGCAACTTAGTCCTATTTAAGCCACTTCGTATCTCGAGATCTCAATGGTAAGAGTCGAATTTGAAACACTCTAAATGCACGAATTCCTATCAATTTTACAGCTGTAATATAGAAAAACGTAAATTGTTATTCCTTCTACATATGTTTCTACTGAAAATACAAAGATTGTTTCTCCCTCAGAGTCAGTGTATCCGTAATTGTAATGGACAGTGTATATTCACAAGTACTTCACCGTTCGCTGATCAATTTATTTTCCAATTTCTCTAAGCGTTAACTGAAGCAGCAATCCTTACAATGACAGTTTGAGAACGGATTCGGGTAATAAACACGACCCGTTAACCAATTAAGTTTCGGTTAAATTACTTTCTTGCGTATGAATGACGGGTCTTAAGAGCACATGGACACATTCAGATTTACGATGTCTGTGTCACTGAGGACTTCTAACACAGAAACCAGAAGAGCTGTAACCAATGTGCAAAAGATATTGGACTTAGAAATTGAGGTCCGTTCTATTTTCTAAAATGAGGTCCTATTAGTTCATATTTGAGTACCTTTAATTATAGGTGTTTGCGGATAATTGCAGATACCGGTATTCCATTAGTCGGTATATCGTTGCCCATAAGTAAGATTGACAAATAACTGACAAAAGACCAGACCCAGAAAAGCTTAATATCTCGTTTACCTTCAATGTTCAGCATTTAACGTTCAGCGTTGCTACTTAGGGCGATACTTTTGCTTATTTAAGAAATAACGATATTTGACAGCTGTACATAAAACGACGGCTAAACTTATGGAAAATTACCCATTACCATTATCTTATTTGTAAGTTGACTCTGTACTTCCCACGCAACGCTGTCATCGGCTTGTGAACAGCGTAAACAGAATGCTTGACACCCTAAGCAGTGATTGCACGGATCAAATTCTTGATAAAAATGATTCTGAGAAAAAGCTCCTGACTCACCAGTGACTTATGAATCGATTTGGTAGTATCTTGAGTAGATTTTCCATATTATTGGTTCATTTCCGAAAGATCCACCTTCAACAAGCTATTCTATAACACCCCCAGATAGCAGGAATGTATTGGCCCAACGACCTGGATGTGACGTGACCAATGATGAAGCCTCACATACTGATCTCAGTGACCGTGCTCTCATTCTTAGTGACTAGTGATGGTGACACCATTCGCAACAGCAAAAAACAACCAAAATATTACATCCGCTGCAGACGGTACCTGCCCCAATACTACCCTCCACGCACCCAAAACCTCTACAACGTACCCCCGGGATACTACGAGCCGCGAGTGTATGTGCCCAGCAGGTGCTACACGTACTGCTATTCGTGCGCAACGTCCAGTTGTAGGAGGCGATGTCCAAACACTAGTGGGTACCGCCCACAAGCGCTGCCTTACAAAACCACGCCTACTGTGGGGCCGTACGTCCGGACCACGCCCAGGAGTAGGACGACGTCGAGGAGGTGGACTACTGCTACACCCTCAGCTCAAGTTATTATTATATGTACGTATGATTATGAGTTGTGTGTATACAAATGATTGAAATATTTGTGAATATGTTTCTTGTAATGATTTTGTTATAACTCTATTCATGAAGGAAGTTCGCTTGTATCAAATATTTTACGACAGACCTCTGCCTGGTCACAAGATATGAAAAAGGCATTTGAGTGACCCAAGTCGAAGTGCTTCCCCGTATCTAATTATCAAATTGACTTCGGCTTCGAAATCTAAACAGTTAATTTTTCCAGTGGTTAAGCTTGCGTTCAGATTACAGATGTATGGTGAATTTGAAAGCGTTCTCTTGGAAAATCTCAAACTCTGGACTTTGTGAAGTTAAATGAGGTATGTACGAATTGTAGCTTAAGCAACAAATTGACGTCGAATTCAGAATATACATACCAGCTCCACCCAAATAATCAAACTTCATCCAGATCGTACATACCCATGAGTTTTATTATTAACCGCCACGAAATATAATGGCCAGTATTTCCACATTAGCTCCCGTCACTACACTTACGTACTTTGTGGTAATGAAGGGTTCAATATTATTTGATCGCCATCTGCATTGAAAATAAAATTTGTTGAAACATTTAATACTCGTATCAGATCACTGTATATACAGGGTGTCCCAGAAGTCGACGTCAAGCCGAAAGCGGGTGATAGGCAAAGTCATAACAGCTATCAGAAAAATCTTGAAAAAAATTTTATGTATGTGTTTTGAAAATTATAGGTCTTTGAAGAAGATATAGAAATTTCACACCCTACGGCAGTCTGTCAACTCCTGTTACTACAAATATTAACTTTTTTTGGATTTTATTTTTACAATGTAATGATGAATAATGCATCTTCAAACTGGTGTCTCAACCTTACTGCCAACTTTTCTCGTTCAGGAAAAATTGCCACTTATTTCCCAACCAAGTATTCCAAAGTAAAACTTTGCTCAACTTTAACTGGCTGTGCTGGAAAAAAATTTACTACGAGAGTTTGGCAAGTAACCTTAAAAGTTGGCGCATTTAATAACGATTCCAAAATGGTATAACACTTAGAAGATTGCTCGTTAACTTATGCACAATTTTTATTTGAAAAAAAAACTGATTAAAATTTTTCAAAATTTCCTAATTAAACAGCGATTATAAAAACGCACAAGGACCCTTAAGGATAACTGTTTGCACAACAGTGGGCGTCAAAATGCTGCTTACAGTAAATGCTCAAACTGTTTTCCTTCAGCCGCAATACACGCTCGACATCTTCTTAAAGAAGATCGGGTTATTAAACGAGCGAATCCACGGTTATTAACCAACTCAGCTGCTTCCAATAGTCTTTGCCGTAGCTCAGCTACATTTTGAATCGGCTTGAAATACACCTTTTCTTTTACAGTTCCCCAGTAAAAAAATCTAAAGGATTCAAATCAGGTGATCGGGCTGGCCACGGTATTGTACCAGACCGCCTTATCCATCTGCCTGGAAAGTTTTGATCGAGATACCCTCTCACTGAGAGTGCATAGTGCGCTGGGCAGCCATCATGCTGAAACCACATGTCCCTGTAAATACTCAGTGGCACTTCCACCAATAAATTTTGTACATGATTTTTCAAAAAATCCAAATAAACTTCAGCAGTCAAAGTCTCTGGGAACTCAAACGGACCGATTATTTTACCATTTAAAATTCCTGTCCAATGGTTTATCTTGAAACGATATTGAGATTTATCTTCTCTCATCAAATGTGGGTTTGCTACGTGCCACTCGTGTAAGTTATGCAGGTTCATGTACCCATCTTTCTTAAATGTGGTCTCATCCGACCATAAAATTTTTCAAAGAACTGTGGATCTTTCCTGTGTCTTTCTAACATTGTGCGACAAAAAGCAACTCGGGGCTCATAATCCCGGGGCAGGAGAGGTTGAACACGCTGTATGTGGTATGGATGAAGCACAACACTTACTTGCTATTGCACACTTTGATACCGATCAGTACTCCTCCGTTTACTGCGCATCTTTACATGTTCGTGTTTGTTGATTTCGTACTGTTACCTAATTTTGGATTCGTGAACTGGACTGTTGATCGCTTATGATTTGGATTTGGTCTGTTTAATTGCTCTTCAAAACAACATTTGCTTTCCTTAGACTATCTTTGATAGTGTGATTGTGCAGTGCCGCTATGTCCGTGTACACCGTACAAGAATATGCTAACATGCACCTCATTTATGGGGAATGCAGATGCAACGCTAGTGCTGCAGCGAGACTTTACTGTGAGAGGTACCCGAATGCAGCTCGTCATCCAGATCATCGAGTGTTCACAAATGTGCACCGCTTACTGTTCTCAGAGGGCCAACCAGCAAACCAATCACACGGTGAGGGAAGATCTTTCCTTCCTTACGAAGACGTGGTGCTAGGAGCTGTCGAAGAAGATCCGAGTACTTCAGTGCGCGCAATAGAACTAAAAACAGGTTTGCCCAAAAGTACAGCCCATAGAATCTTGCAAAAAAACGTGCTCCATCCATACCACGTACAGCGTGTTCAAGCTCTTCTGCCCCGGGATTATGAGCCCCGAGTTGCTTTTTCTCGCACAATGTTAGAAAGACATAGGGAAGATCCACGGTTCTTTGAAAAAATTGTATGGTCAGATGAGACCACATTTAAGAAAGATGGGTACATGAACCTGCATAACTTACACGAGTGGCACGTAGCAAACCCACATTTGATGAGAGAAGATAAATCTCAATTTCGCTTCAAGATAAACCATTGGACAGGAATTTTAAATGGTAAAATAATGGGTCCGTTTGAGATCCCAGAGACTTTGACTGCTGAGGTTTATTTAGATTTTTTGCAAAATCATTTAGAAAATTTATTGGAGGACGTGCCACTGAGTATTTACAGGGACATGTGGTTTCAGCATGATGGCTGCCCAGCGCACTATGCACTCTCAGTGAGAGAGTATCTCGATCAAAACTTTCCAGTCAGATGGATAGGGCGGTCTGGTACAATACCGTGGCCAGCCCGGTCACCAGATTTGAATCCGTTAGATTTTTTTTACTGGGGAACTGTAAAAGAGAAAGTGTATTTTAAGCCGATTCAAAATGTAGCTGAGCTACGGCAAAGACTATTGGAAGCAGCTGAGTTTGTTAATAACCGTGGATTCGCTCGTTTAATAACCCGATCTTTTTTAAGAAGATGTCGAGCGTGTATTGCGGCTGAAGGAAAACAGTTTGAGCATTTATTGTGAAGGTAAATCATCATCAGCAGCATTTTGACGCCCACTGTTGTGCAAACAGTTATTTATCCTTAAGGGTCCTTGTGCGTTTTCATAATCGCTGTTTAATTAGTAAATTTTGAAAAATTTTCATCAGTTTTTCTTCAAATAAAAATTGTGCATAAGTTAACGAGTAATCTTCTAAATGTTATACCATTTTGGAATCCTCATTAAATGCGCCAACTTTTAAGGTTACTTGCCAAACTCTCGTAGTACATTTTTTTCCAGTACAGCCAGTTAAAGTTGAGCAAAGTTTTACTTTGGAATACTTGGTTGGGAAATAAGTGGCAATTTTTCCTGAAGGAGAAAAGTTGGAAGTAAGGTTGAGACACCAGTTTGAAGATGCATTATTCATCATTACATTGTAAAAATAAAATCCAAAAACAGTTAATATTTGTAGTAACAGGAGTTGACAGACTGCCGTAGGGTGTGTGAAATTTCTATATTTTCTTCAAAGACCTATAATTTTCAAAACACATACATATTTTTTTTTAAAATATTTTTCTGATAGCTGTTGCCTATCACCCGGTTTCGGCTTGACGTCGACTTCTGATGATGATGATCTTACTAGATCAACCTGCTTAAAATTTACACAGAGATATTTTCAAGGTTACGTTCATAGAGATATGTAAATGTAGGTCACTACTGTGAACACATCGCTTCCTATATTGACATATGAAAGGGGATTTTAAGCGTAGATAAATGTTTGACTTACTGTAAATTTCTTACAAGAATGGTCTGTTTCATACCCACAGAAGCTTCCCACTTAGCATGTTTTCCAGCTTCTCATTCACTACTTTTCTCTGTTTTAGAAGTACCTGATTTTTTTTTAAGTTTTCAGGACATATGGCAGTGTATGTTTAGTCTGGGTAACTATTGTAACTCTCCAATTTGTCTTTTCGTTGATTTTTCTCTTTGTAGTTGTTTCGTGGATTATAATGGTAAAAGACGTTTCTTTGATGATATAATTGGCTTGATCTGGACATTAACACGAGTATATTGATCATGTCAGCAATACGCATAGTACTATAAGTCACCTAATAAATCTCTGCCATATTTATCATCTACTAAATACGCTGCGGTTATATAGAACATTTTATTTGGTGAAGCTAAACTACTACTGCAAGCAAGCTACTTCTACAGACTATACAAACATACATCATAAATCTATTCCTAGTACCCATGTGCTGTATCGCCCAGTCGGTGAAGCTTGGAAAATATATGGATTCATTTACACCACTATCAAAAGTCATAAATCTTCATTTATGAACTTAAATCGCGGTTACGTTGGTTGTTGATTTGGTAGTCGTTGGCACACATATGAAAATATTAAAACTACTAAAAGGTATGAGAGGTGACTGGGGTTTAGTTATCTCATGGGTTGATGTTTCACTTTTAATATTTACTATGATCCGTTAGTATCTATGAGACGTGGTAATTACCAAGCGTGTCGGCATCTATTAACATATTGTTCCTGAAGTCCAATATGTTTTGCTAGACGTCATAATATTTTAGTTTTACAGAAAAACTGAAGGGGTTCGAGAGCGGTGAAAACTAGGACATTTTTTGAAACCTGTTTATTTACTTCGTTTTGTGTCTCTTATAAGACCAGGCAACGTCACGTAGTTTCTGAGAAAAAAATGTTTTTCCGAGCTGGTTGCTAAATCGTACTACATCAAGTGTTCAAATCTAGTAAGCATCTAGCTGGCGAAAATGTGGGATGTTATGTCGTATCGGATTATTTTGACAACAAGCTTTTTCATAAATTTTAAATTAATCAAAGTTTGACATTATT